TGTTATCCTTAGTCCATAAGAATAGGTCAAGTTTCCTCCTAAAAAGCTCCTGGGAAGACTCTTGGACTAGCTCAGTAGAAGTTGTGTCTACAGTCCTTTCTGCTATATTGAGTCTCCAGTTTCTGGGTGTTACCCCTTGGGTCTGTATTGGGACTAGGCTTAAGTAAGTGTTTACGGAGATGGCCAGAAGCGGTAAGGATACTGTAAGCCATCAGGTCACCTCTAAGACGCCTATAATATAGTGGTCAAAGGTTAGGTGTTGGGAGACGCTCTTCATAAGGTTTGAATTTGAGACCCCGAACTGATTTCGTGGCTCGACGTTGTATACGTTCCAGAGTGACCTTATCCTTTTGGAGGGAGGGAGGAAATACTATGTTTCCGTACTCTAAGTGGGGACGAATAAAACTGTTGAAGATTATATGGAAGGTTCTACCATCAAACTGGCCAAAAATGCGCTTCAATGTTACCAGTGCAAGGTTTGCTTGAGAGGCGTTTTTGTCACAGTTCGCATACGATTTCAGGTCGTAGGGTACCAACACTCCTAAATCTTTTTCAACTTGGGAAACTTCTAGAGGTGAGTTACCTAAGTTATAACTATAGTCTGCAACATGTCTCAGATGGACTGCCTTGCACTTTGAAGTGTTGAAGGTAAGTCCGTTGTCGTCTGCCCAACTTTGAAGTCGAGTCAGATCCTCCTGCAGAACTAGTATATCATTGTGAGTACGTATCTCTCTCCAAAGTTTCACATCATCAGCAAAAAGCAATAAGTCAGGTGAAACTTGTTGAGGAAGATTGTTAATATAAATCAAGAAAAGAAGAGGTCCTAGTATTGAACCCTGGGGGACCCCACTAGGACATTCCATAACCTGAGAGAGAGTGAAGTTAACCCTGACCTTAGAATGTCGGTTTTCTAGATATGAAGTGGGCCAGTCAATCAAAGGGGGGTTTTATACCCAATCGTTTAAGCTTCTTGATAAGACATACGTGGTTGATCCTGTCAAAAGCTTTTGAGAAATCCAGGTAGATGACGTCAACGTTCCACTTGCGATCAAGGATGGTTGTCCATCTATCCACCGCAGTCAGCAGGTTGGTCATACAAAAATGACCTTTTCTGAAACCATGCTGTTGAGGTGAGACGAACTTTGAGGATGGCAAGTATTCTTGTATACAGTCGTATATTAGGGATTCCATAATTTTGGAAGGTATGGAGAGAAGGGCCACTGGTCGGTAGCTTGAGGGTTCACTGCGTCGACCTCCTTTGAAAATTGGTGTGATGTGGGCCAGCTTCCAAATTTTTGGTAGTTTGCCTCTGCTTAGCGAGTGTGCAAACATCACGCTAAGTGATGTCGCCAGGATTGAAGCTGCTTCCCTCAATACAGTAGAATGAACCATATCCGGACCAGAAGTGTCTTTTCTTAGGTGCTGCAGTTTACGGAGCACCAGGTCAGCACTCAGGTCCACTTCGGAAAGTCCTGTACAGGTGCAGGTGAAGCTTTCGTCAGTATAGTTGGTGCTGGTCGCGAGGTGTGACTTCGAAGTTAGCTTGTTCGTTACACCGTTACCTTCTAACTCGAGTAGGCCTACAATCATTCGACATAGATCATCAACGTTGATGGTCCGCATACTAAAGAAAAAAGATCGAGTAATATTTAAGAGTATTTGAATTGTAGTACAAAGTAGTAGTCCCAGCAATAACTCAATCTGTTCAATAAGTATAAGATGAGTACAAACGAATGTACTGTATTTGCAATTCTAAATCAAACAACCATCAATACAAGGGAATCATTGGTTCATTCAAATACCACATCCGCCACAGCCTAAATTGCAGTGTCAGTGTCTGTGATCGATTGAACGTCTTCCTCTTGAGTTCATCTTACGTCTGTTCGACAGTGTATTGGATGTAGATTGTGTATTATCCAGAATGCACGCGTTAGTATTACAATTTACAACTGAAATTGAAACAGACGCACCTGATTCCTGGAATCGCATACGATCGTCATGTCGGTTGTGTAGTGAAACTACTGATATTTCGATTTGCATCATAGATTTTCAAACACTATAATCCCCCACGAAATAATGTTGGGTCCTTACGTCCCAATGTTATAGCTAATTTGACACTCTCAATTTGCACTGTCTTATAACTCACGCTTCAATTATTATATGTGAGTATTTGGGGATAAACACTGACACGTAATTTGAGGCATTACATCATGTGAATTTCACTTGCATAAAAATTATGATACATATTCTTTTTGTTGTTCATATTAGAATACACAAATAAATATGCATTGATATGTGTAATTAACAATTTTAATTCATCTAGGCTTGATTCACCTGCTAACCAATCAAACGGAAAACATACATCTGCCTCATACTCATTAGGATAATCTTGGACTTGATTTGGATTCTCTGCCTGTGCAAACTTCATATCTGAGCAAACTGGTTCTCTGAATGCTTCGGGAAAACTGGCTATTCCCCCTGATCCCTCATACCACTGACTAGGAATTCTACTCAACATACGTTGTTCGTCAGAATACCCAATACTGATACAACAACATCAGAAATATGACTAGAATCACACTCATTCGAAACATATTTGTCACATTCATTGGGAATATCACTAGGGATAAATTCATTGTGAGGACCACTGACATGTGATATGGCACTGGGATTTTATTGTTCTGAAATATTTTCCTTAAATTTATTAAAAATTTCATTAGAGAATAATGGATCATTGGAAAAATCAGCATCCACCAAATTTATATCAAGTTTTCGATCATGATCCGATTCACTCAACATATTTCACTCAGATTTTCAAGAAATTCCATCGCAAATATGTGAATTATTGTGACAAACAACATCTGGTACAATAACACGGGAAATATGATAAGTTGGTTGATTAGAAACTTTTGTCTATTTAAGGAAAACCATAGGTTTTTAGAGCCAGCGAAGTCGTCCAATAAGCTGAATCACTTCCACGTCGAACAACAGATCACTGATAGTTACGCTTTTTCTAACATTTTCAAAGTCAAGAGTGGATGCTGCACATCAATTAAAACCATGCGTGAACCGATTCATGTCCCAGTGGTCGCACTCTGTTCCTTCCAACCCACACTTACTAAAACATTTCTTTAATAACATCATGTTTGTTTTACATGATCATCAAAGTGACCACAGTTCCCGAATACCTTGGGAGGGCAATCCACACCAAGTGCTAACCTCTAGGCCATTCTAAACTCAAGTAGGCCGCAACCAAACACACAAATCAGCTACAACTGTGGTCCCAAGGTTTATATTTTATGATCCAATAGTGAGAAGACCATTCCGTGAACCAGGAACCATGGAGTTATTTAGCAGATAGTTGCGGAGAGACTCATTTACAGCTCTTCTTTTCAACGACACAACTGTTAAGAGCAAGGAAGTCGTTCTGAGATTGGAGCTCTACGAATTGCTACTTTTTTTATAGTATTGTACTGCCAAACCTCCCTCCGGTTAGGAAGGGCGAAGTATTATTTATGTAACTAACAAGATGGAATAGAAGCATATCTGCATATTTCCTTGGGACTATAGCATTCATTCCTCATAATCTAGCAGATATACCAGTATTCAAGCTCATCAAAACCCCTTCGATTTCGCGGGAGGACATCTTCATGATGTCAGCGTCACAATTTTAAGCGACTGAGCTGGAGTCAGTCGTCAGAAGTATTATTATCGGAAAGTAAATGGGTCGGTATTTATAAGCTAGCAATTTAGTGACCCTATTATGGAGGCTGTGTATTATCTTATGGCTGACTATTCATCTATATTGCTCTCAATGCGTCATTTGTCTGAATCTACACGCTTATACCTGATGACTTCACCGGTGAAGATATTCGCCCATACGACGATCTGAATTTTTGGAATATCATGGTGTCGGTCGACGTACTGGTGAAAGGTGTTCTTTAGAATATTCCATCATTTCTAAAAATTGGTGCGGTTGTCTTCGTCCAATCATTATATTTGTCTGAGGTCTACCATAACAGCGAAGTAATCAACAATGTGAGAGCTTTGTATGATTTTCGTAAACCTGATAAATCAGTATAGAAAAAATAGAGTGAGAAGATGGAGTAATCGTTTTGTTCAAGGTACAGGTGCAAGTGAACGTTATACGAAGGAGTTTTAGAAGATATGAGTGTTTGGTACCCTTCCTCCGAGTAAGTCATGATCGTTGATCGTTCAATTTTGGGAAGTTTGAGCTCCCGTTGTAATCTCTCGAAATATCCTGTCGTTTTTGTCCTGCGAACTGAGAAAAAGGGCAAACAGGTGTAGCAGCAAACAGTTCCTAAAAATAAGTCTTCTAAGTTGATTATGACCTCATTAGTTTCACTTGACACAACCCAGCTAAAGGTGTTCGGACACGCATCCGGACCACATCACGATTGAGTGTGTCGTGCTCCTCATCGCCCACAACTACAAGCCAAACTAGATCAATTGCTTCTCAACACATCGACAACCTTAAATACATATCTTGAGAGCTGATTTATACCTCAATTCTGATTTGACTGGGCCGGCATCCTTCTATTATAAGTGTGTTACAAACAAAATAGTTGTCAAATCTCAAGTATATACGGCATCTCATGGTTACCAAGGAATCATTACAAAATTTGGCCGGTATTCCAGAATTTTAGGTACGTTGAGGTTGGGTTTATCTTTATTTTAGATATGAACTCAGGTCCAGATTCCGGTACTTGCTGTTGATTTGTTAGACAATCTTAAGGACAGGTTCTAGAGCAGATGCGATAAACGATTTTTTTGAAAGACCTGGTATATTGAGCATTTTCGACGGTGGCCAATTCTTTTTAGCTTTGTTGACTTGAGTAACCTAACAAAAGTTTATGCTATAGTAATGCAACATTCACTGATCGTACAGGCGATAGAAACAATATTCATCAATAATTATAAATCGATAATAGTTATTCTGTCAGTCAAATGTGAGTATGAATTGAATTCTCCCGTGTATGTTCATCCATAAGACATTGAACAGTCGTGATACAAGCGGGCTAACGGGTGCATTTCAAAAATGGTGGCAAGTTTCGGCGATTTAGGAAAGTCGGCCCGTGATATTTTTGACAAGAACTTCGGCTTCGGGTTTCTTAACTTTGAGTTCAAAACCAAAACTGAAAATGATATCTCTGTTACATGTGGTGGCAAACATGATACAAATGCTGGAAGAGTTTCCGGTTTCTTAGAGTCGAAGTTAAAAGCTGCCCCAGGGGTCCATTTAAAGACTAAAGTTGATTCTAAATGGCTAATGACAACTGAAATAGAAGTTGACAAGAAACTGCATGAAGACTTATCGCATAATGTGTTAGTTACAATGGAGCCTGATTCAGGGTATGTTGACAAGTCCTCAAACCTAATCATTCAGAGCTAAGTCATTGCTGCTAAAAAATAAGTTAAAGCATGAATATTTCAATGCCAATCTGGATATGAGTTTTAAATCAAAATATCCCCTGATCACCGGGTCGCTCGTACTGCCGTATGTTTTCATTCTTACATAAATCTCCTTAGTATTCCCCACTATCCTGCTTTTCGTATTGGCGCACAAGCCGTGGTTGACAGTGAAAAATCAGAAATTAGCAAACATATTTATGCAATCAACTTCAAGCAGTCCGATGTGCAAGTGCATGCTACACTCACTGGGCATTCCGATGTTGACTTAAGTGTCTTTCAGAAGTTCAAAGACATGAAACTAGGTTTCCGTGTTGGTTGGCGACCAGACACTCGTGAAACGTCATTTGGTGCCGCTCTTCGTTATAAAACCTCTCCTACTGGAAAAGTCAAAGTAAAGATAGACCAAAATTGCGTAGTTGGACTGGCTTACAAGCTTAAATTAAACTCAGGTATAATTTATATGAAACTATTTGTCTCTGACCTTGGTATTCAGCGTTTTTAATTATTTCCTTTTTAAGTAGATCAGTATCTACACACGTTATGTTGCATTGTGCTTCTGTCAAAGACATCAGTAGCTAGTCTAGTACACTGGCACATACTAAAGAATTATCTTGTCTAGTTCTCTAGGAAAACTTCACAGAGCAAGAGCAGCCTCCATCTGCATTAAGATTTCAGCCTCTGCATTCCCGTCATATGAGTCAATAAAACTAGTAACTAATTATGGCAAGAAATCTTGGTAGTACTTTCAGATAGGATATTCTGATATCAAAAAGCGATGTAATTAAACAACTTTAGTGTTTACTTCCAAAACCCCTTCACCTGTAATTGTCAATTACGAGTTCCCGGTATAAAAAGTAATGAGTAATTTAATAGCCTACTTATCAACACTAAACTGTGTATGGTTGCATAAATTACACTTAGTTTCTAATTACATGTATCTTCCTTCCACTTACATCATGTATTTAAGATGATTACCAAACCCTCAACTTTACTGGGATTTGAGTTATCGCAGCTAGATAAAACAGCACATCTTATTCCTTAACAGATACTAGTATAAGTGTCGCTTAGGTTAAGTTTTACTTAGATGGCATAATTGGCCTACCAAGGTGTGCACTATAGATTGTGCTTATTCATAATAGACGACATGAAGTAATTTAATATGGTCAAGTCTTAACCTACACTAACAAGCACCGTCACCTTCCTCAAGTTGACTAACAGAATAAACATGTCAACAAGTAGTGCTATATTGTTGCCTAACGTTAAAATGAACCTGGTATCTTCAGAAAAGAAATAAAACGGCATTAGATTTAGTCTATTTAATAATGAGTAGTCATTTGTCAGTGAAAATTAAGGTTATTTAACGACGACATTGGTCATGTAGTGTAAATCAGCTGAGTAATTAGTCCCGAGTTTAGACAGCTTCAGTCAAAACAGTCATTTTTTGGAATTGTAACCCAACTCCAGACAGTCAAAATATGCACCGCGATATATTATCTCGATGCTTATTAGTAATCTTTAATGTTTGAATTAAACCAACTAAAACTTCAGAACGATTGGATTGTGAATTAACATCATTATCAAGTCCTTTAGTCCACTAGCCAACGAAAATTGAGGTCTTTTTTTTATTCACGCAAAATCAACTTCATCGATCCAGTAAAATAACCTTTTCACTTTTCGAATTTTAGAGACTATTATCATTCTATGTCCAACTCTTCTAGGGTTGTTTTTTCTTGTATTTGTCCCGATAACTCATTTCATGCACTTTATTTAGCTTCACTAGATTCTTTGGTTCAGTGAATCAACACATCTGTCAGCCAAGTACCAGTTTGATCATTGTCACGCCTAACTGGATTCGGGTACTAATAGACATGATAAATCAACTCATTCACCAGGTAGTTAGGTATGAGCCATACTAAATGTGAAGACACATGGTACTACCCGGTTTCCCAAATCGAAGTAGGTGGATGAGGTTTTGAACCTAGAAGTCGGTTCCTGAACCAGCATTGTACAGCTCTGCACAAGTCGTTATTGAGTCACGTTTCTAATCCTATAAAATAACACACTAATTCTAACATGCCTTTTACAGTGACACAAAGACCAGATTTCTTTGTTTACCACTAGTCCCTGCTCCTTGTTTATTCAACATGTGCATCACATAGCATTTAGCTATTATCGATCGTCACCAATTCACTGTAATCAGTGCGTTTAATAACGTCTCTCCTTGTTACTTTATTTGTAATATCTTGGTCTCACTGTAACCTGCATCATTTGTTCTCTTAACCTACTGCTTTGTTGTAAGCTAAAGAATATAGCCTACAAAGTTCACCTTGATCCCTTTCATTTAACGTTGTTGACATTGCGTATTTAAATTCATTTTCGCTATCTAATCTTTCATAGTACTAGGTATTCAGCCAATTGGTAACAATTTAAACTCGATTCTTTTTCACTTCCAGATGCATGTTTGGCATTGTGCACTCAATTTGATGGAAAGAACTTGGAGAATGGAGGTCAAAAGTACGGTATCATGTTCAAGTTTGGATCGTAACATGGACATAGTTCTCTAATACTAGGTTTAATTGTCCTTAGACCGGTGCTTGCACCCCTGTTAGATTTTAACACTGGTTTAATTATACTTGTAAATTGATTGACTTGTTTCTGTTCCGAAATGCATGATTACATTCATTCTGTTCTACATACAACCTGCACTACCAAACGACACAAAATGTAACGACTTCCTCGTTTTATGTTGTCGTCCGGATCCTTTATTGCGCTACGCTGTCTTTCTCATCTAACTTAATACGTTAATTGCTAGCGTTCTCAGATGTATAGTTTTCCTAAAATCTGCCAAGTTGTCCTTCGCGTTAAGCTACACATAGTCGAAAGTAATTTTAAATGTACTGTGTCTTGATAATATCTCCGTATTTCAGCTTCCCCGATGCATAAAGTCTTTAATCTAGGTTCACCAAATATTTGTTACTTTATTACATGCAACTAAATCATTTAAGATGCATAAGCGTAAAGGGCGATGACCTTAGCTTTTGTCAATTTTTATTTAGATTTGGAACTAAACACAATATTGTGCCCTTAAAAACGTGACTAGGCTCTTGTAGGACTGTAATCTTTCATTTCTTGGTAGCTAATGTTATGTTCATTGCTCAGCCTTAATTTGTCTGTTCTTAACGTGTCGTAAACCTCCTCAAGTAAGAGGTGAATAAAAGTAATTACAAACAAGGTTGGTTTTAATTGCCATTAAGGCAGGCTTGAATATGCTAAATCAAAAAGGATAAGAGATTATGTAGTCTAAAGAGTGAGGAATGTAGTGGAATAACGTAACAGTGGAAGTAATCTGTCCATCTTTGGGCTGTGCTTAGTTAATATTCCTTCAGTGTCAGATATCATATTACGAAAGTTTATCTAGCATTCACAGGTAGTGATGCACTGGCTGCTTTAATTTATACTAACTCATGTTTATTTGTGTCACAATGATGAGTCATTTAGTTCCAAAACATTGTATAAGTCTTTCTGATGGCAATCTCAAAAACGGTTCTCTTCGAGAAATCCATGTTAAGGTGAGCTTTGGTGAAGTCACTAGTGCCAACGTCTACCAATATAGGATTTGAATCGACAACTTCATCGCTGTGCCAATTTGGTATGGCAACTCGAACTGATGTGCGTATGTACGAATTACTACGTTGCGACTGACTGACTTCTCCGAAGTCCCATTATCTTACGAAACAGCTGTCTACTTCTTGACCCAGTCATCTAACGAGTTACTCTATGATGTTAGACTACAAAACTCCATAACCCCATCTACTGAGAAGTAATTTATATGCCAAATAATCTAGTCAGATGTATTTTCAAAAACGTTTTGTCGATAATGTATTTTTAGTTTACAGGAAACTTTAAAACCATATAACGTTAAATAATCGTCTGATTTGAGATTGAAGTGCACATCCATAGCCCTACCAAGAAATCAAATCCTTTATGTCTTACAGTTAACATATTAACTTTGCATCATCAAATGGCCAAACAGTGATCCGTATTTTCGTAGGAATTGGCTAAATTTAAAGTTTTCTAGTACTCCGGCTTTCACTGTTTCTTCTGTTGATGTCAATCCATGATAAAGACTATCCATACTCTAATTAAGTCATTTTGGTTTTTTGACAAGTGTTGAAGTTTCACATGTATTTTGATAAGCTATCATATGATTGATTTACATAATTTTATACGTTATTAGAATGGCACAAAGTTTGACATCACCTTTCTAACAATGCACTCCTCTGAAAGAATTCAATTAACATATACCAACTAAATGGAGTGGGGTTAGCCTCAATCTAGCTGTTAGTGAATAAAGAACATCGAAATTAACTCACTCACTCCTACTTAAGCTATCACGGAAACCAACGATGCTATGGATTGAGTTGTTTAGTTATTTGATTTGCTTGTGTGTATTCCTTACTATTTGGATACATATACTAATATGTATACCGACATTAACTTATTTTCTAGTTCATACAGTCTAAAAACCCTATTACATCTATAGTGATATTTCGTTTCATGTTAGCTAATATGACTTTGACCATAACCTAAGGCCTCATATAACTTCTGGTGTATGATAAAACTAATCGACGCCCGTATACACGACATCGCATGCTGCAGTTTGGAGATATTTCATATTAAATTATAAGCATTCATATTATAAACGGAACATGATTGGACAATGGTTTGATACGCAATCGAACTTGATTAACAATTAGGCTTCTTGTTGCAAAACCGAGTGACACTGGTCCTATGGTATCAGAAGCAGGGGTTTCTGATGATTGGTTTTAAATAGAAGAAATCTTTAAATGTCATGACTGGTTAATTGTTTAATAAAGCTCACCACAGTATGTAACTAAAGCCCCTGGGAGAGTATATATTAGTGAAAACCAAACAAATACAGAGAAACTAACAAATGGTTTCCCAAAATTCATGTCCAAGTGTATGAAACTACAAATAAATTCAGTCCCTAAGGTGTATTGTAATACTTAAACTTGGCAGTAAATCCTATTGTACTAAAACTCGAGCACACTCTTTACATGATGAGGAAGTAGTTCAAAAGTTTGGCTGGTGAAACGGGCTGAACATACCGAGCTTCATATGTGTTTAGCAGAATTGCACGAAAATAAACCTTGGGCACCGATGAAGATGAATCGAACTGAAGTTTTCCCCTATGAATCTTGTGATATGTGGGTAGCTCACAGGGTAATAACAAGTGTTCAGTCCTTATTGATAAGCATCAACCGATTTTGATACCGGACTGAATAGTTTCATACTGTTATTTTTACTTGGTACTAAACAATCCGTAGTAGTTGACTTGAAGTCAATTCTTAACGCTTTTTAATTGTTAGTAGTTATCAGCGAAGCCCGATAGCAGCTTCTATAAAACGTAGGTTGTTTATAGATTAAAACCGCCATTACTCAACTTCATACTTGCAGAGTTTTTAAGACCGTCTTGAAATACTGTTTTAACTAGGAACTAAATCAGTGTAGCAGCATAATCGGAATTATAATCATATTCTGATTAAAATCGAAAAAGCATGGCCCATCACTTCAAGTTCCTTTCTCACAACGACCCAACTTTAAGTAGATCGTATTATGATGTCCTGTCAAATAATTTAGTAGGTGTATAAAAAGTCGCTTGATAAAATTCAGTGAGAATTAGGCATTAAGCATATCGAAGTCAGTTATCATTCAGTAATATAATGTTTCCTTATTATTACTACGGCAATAAAATTCATGTAATAACCACGATTCGTAAAAAAAAACAACTGAGGAGCCAATCAATGTATATAATGGAATTGTTCATGCCATCATTTTAGTTAGTTTTTCAAGGTCAAATAGTAATAAAAGGTACCCACATAAATAATCTAATTTTTATATACCATTGGTACTGTTTATATTTTATTGATTTACTTGAACTTTTCGTAACCTCTTTCATTTCATTTTCTGTAGTAAACAAAATTTTGTTAACATTTGACAGTTTTATTGATCAAACAAAATGATCAATAATAATTTAAGCAGAATACTTTTTACTTTAAACAAAACCGATAAAAGAAAACGACAGATATGAAGTATGGTTTCATATGAACTTTCTTCTCATGAAAAAAAATTCTACCTAAGTAAATATTGATTTGACAGACTGGAATTTGTTAAGTAGTTGATTTTCTTGTGCTTAACAAAATGATATAACTGAAATAGTTAATTTGGAGGATAATGAAATTCAGAAAAATCTGTTTCTAGAACATTTCTGTAGCTCTTGTACTAAGAATAAATGATGGTGAATGACTTTTCTCTGAATCTTTTGTGCATAAAATATACAGTTAGTTGATAACTGGTCACAAACAATAAAGTCAAAATATCGCTTAAATTGGTGAGTATTTATGACAATGAAAGATGAACCAAGGCTTGAGTTCATTAATGTCAAAGCTCTTAACATCTATGTGATGATTTCATTTTGTGATCTTAAGCTAACAGTTGTATATTCATTTTCGTAGAGGTAGTAAGTGTAGGAGCTTGTTAACACATCCGAATTTTTAACGTTTTTGAATTCTTTCTATTTGGAAATGTGGATGAATGTTCCATGTAAGACATTTACTATACTTTTGTGCTAGTCCACACAGAAATGGAATTTTCTTCACTGAACATTGAATAATTTACACGATTTAATTATTGCCATACCATACTTCTCGGTTAAGGGCTCTGGCTCGTAACTGGTATGTCCTGGGTTCGAATCTCGTGGGTGCGCACTGCTGAGGAGTCCCATAATAGGACGAAACGGTCGTCCAGTGCTTCCAGGTTTTCGATGGTGGTCTAGCTTCAATTGACTCATGATTTCAACTTTGAAATATACTGAAATCTCCACAAATCCCCTTCTGAATACTTCTCTTTGTTTATTATTAACAACACAGTTGATATGATATGGTGAAAAGATGAAATTACGTTGTTTACTCATTGTGATTTTTGTTCAACATTACTTCAGTTTTTAATTCAATATGAATTAACGTGGTCTGACAAACTATAGGCCAGTGAGACTTACCTAACAGAGGACAAACGACATTTTTTCAAGACTGAAGACTATAGTCATTTAGATGTCAAAACATACTTTACAGCATAACTACTAGAACTAAGCCTCAAACTCTTCTCTATTATTCACTGATGGTCTACTATAAATGAGTCTATTTTCGAATAGAGTCGTCGTGTTTCTGGGGGTGAATAAATCTTCACTAGTATAAGTCTTCCGTATTCTTACTTCACTTCGTGGGCATTGCAGTGGTTCCTTGTTTCAAGAACAAGTAATAAGCAATCCAGATATAATAAGATCACGTAATAAAAAGTTATAGTCTTATAAAGTTCATAAATATACAATTCGACGTTATTACTACACAAGTTCAAAAGTGCACGTTAATGTATTCCATGACATTAAAAATATTTTGTGATTTGTAAGACACAGTAAAGGTAGTTCAACTATTTTGTAATTCAAATTAGAAAATCATCATCTTGTATGTTTACAAATCATCTTTACTGTTTGTAATCTAAATTTAATTTAAACTTTGAAACGTATTCTGATAATGGATATCTTAGTATACTGGTCATTGCTTGATAAATTGAAACATAATTCCGTCAGATCTATTATTTTGAAAATGATTATTTGGAAAGTATTACCCCGAAACCATCTAATTAGAGTAAAAATGTAATTTAGTACAA